GCCCTAACAGACAGGGAAGACTGCTATTCTTTTCTTTGTTTTTTATTTTGGGTACTAGGGATGCTGACTGCTGTTCTGTCCGTACTAAAGACAGTCTTGGCTACCTAGAACGGAGCAATCTTCACTGAGCTATGGGCTTTGGGAGCCCAGTGAATACCCTCTCTCTCTCTCTCTCTCTCTCTCTCTCTCTCTCTCTCTCTCTCTCTGTGTGTGTGTGTGTGTTACATGCTGTGCCTGCAACAGGCTGCACGGGCCACTTTCAAACCCGTGACGTTTTCAGGCCAAAAGCCTGAAAACAAGGGCGTACAGCCCCCGTGTCGTTTCAGCCTGAAAGCCTGAAAACAAGGGCCTATAGACCGTGTGTTGTTTCAGCCTAAATCAGGGCCTTTTCGGTCCTGAGTCTTTTCAGCCTAAAACTGAGGGCCATTTTCAGGCCCTCATGTGTTTGGCCTGCCCCCAAACTCAGGCACCAAACCAAGGTTTTGGCTCAGACCATTTTGGGCCTATTTTCAAGATAACCTTCGTTTGAGCTTCAACCCCAGGGTCTGGCACGTTTTGGCATTGGCAAGAGCAACCTCCTGGACTGGTCAACACTATAAAGGATTGGCCCGCCCTGCAGGCTGCAGGTAGTTCCTAGGTACTTCCCAGGCACTTCACGTGCAGTTCAGGAGGCAGGAGGCAGTCTTCAGGATTCGGCAGTAGCACTCTGCAGAAGCACTGCAGGAGTAATAGTAGCGTTAGCAGTAGACTTCAGCATTGGGCGCTAGTAGCGTTAGCTGTAGTCTTCAGCGTTGGGCGCCATAGCTGGAGTAGTACTATAGAGATAGTCTCAGATAGAGATTGGGCGGAGGCCAGAGGGACTTACCTGCAGGCTGCAGCGCCATCGCTCCAGCTTCGTCTTCAAGGTACCTGCAGCAGAGCGCCACCTTCACAGGTTAGTACGTGGCATATGAGAGAGAGAGAGAGTTCTTCTTCTTCCTCTTCTCAGTCCACCATCTCCCTCTCACCCTCTCATTATCTGACTTCACTGCATCGGCAGACTATGTGTGTGTGTGTGTGTGTGTGTGTGTGTGTGTGTGTGTGTGTGTG